GGTTACCAGTCCTTAGCCCTGGAGTTTCTGATTCAGTAGCTCTGTAGTGGGCCTGAGAATTTTAAACAAGTTCCCAAGTTACAGTTCCCAAACTGCTGCTGATCCAAAGGGGTCATGTATAAGAATTTCTGCTTTCCAGGTTTTTAGGTAAAAGGACGCTTCAAAATATGAAGGTATCTCAAAAAGTATTGCTACAAAATCATAGAAACCTTTATTAAACATAAATATCTAAAGTTAAGCTATTATTTCTTGACATATTTTCCATCTAATTCTATTTACTTCTAAAGGTGCTTTCCATTTTTCTGACCTATCCTTGAAGAATTCAGCCCTCTTTAATATATCCACCATGTTACAACAGCCGTTTTGGTGTCCTCAAGGGCCTCAAATCATGGTCCTTTTAAATATTCAAAAAGAAATGTTCAATGTTAAATGTTCAAAAAGAAATTTGAAGGGGCAAGATTAGGGTTATAGGGTGAATGGGATATTGTTCTCAATAAAATTCTTGAAGGATGTCCCTTGCTATGCTCAAAGAACGAGCAGGTACATTGTCTTAATAGAATAAATTCCTTAGCGCAACTTTCTTGGCCTTTTTTTTTAAATCACCAATGTAGTTTTTTGTCAGGGACCTGCCTTGATGGGGAAGTTTGGTTCATGAAGTAGGGAGATCTGGCGGCGAAAGAAATAGAGAAAGAATATACACAAAGACACAACGAGAGAAAAAAAGAGACACTCCGAAACCAGAGTGGATGCAAAACCAGCAGACAGACCCTGCATGGCAAGCAGCATGGCCCTGCAAGAAGTAATGCGTGCAGGATTCAATCTGCATTCGTCTTTTATTTCAGGGGGGGATTTTACACAAAGGAAGAAGGTGATTATCAAGACAGAGTACAGAAATGAAATGTAATTAATTGTTCAAAACAGGACACAATGATTTACAGGGACAAATTTTAAAATATGCATCCCAAATTGTCTTAATAATCTAACATTCTTAATTTTCCAAAAA